TTGCTTTCCTGTGAACTGATTCAGAAGTTGCGACCGTTGTTAAGACAATGGAATATAAAAGTGATAGCAAGAGAAAAGACAATACTCTTCACCAGCCTGTCGATGCAACACATGAATACTGAAAAACTGGATTGTTCGGGAGTCTATAGCATCACATTCGGCAACTGTGAGTAGAAGTATATTGATGAATTTGTGAAACAGGAAAAAAAATGAACCTACTAATCAAGAAACACGAAAGATTCTGCTGAAACATGGACACTGAAAGATACGAAATAGCGGAACACATCGCACGGACAGGACACAAAATCAAGTGCAAATCGACGGAAAGACTGACTGAATATGGTAAAAATACAAGCCATCGATATCCTGACTGAAAGAAATCTAGTGAACAGGCAGGATTTGCAAAAATGTTGCATACTGCCTGAGCGAACTCAGGCTGGCGAAAACGGCAATATCAGCAAAAACAAGACGACTGGATGAAGGTAATATTTTTTATTTTAGGCAAATAAATTACAATGAGATCAGATATGAACAATCGGAAACCAAGAAAGGACGTTTAAAATGAGCGCACTCAAATCAAGCGGAACCATCACATTTGGGGTTCGGCACGCAAGAGAAAGTCATAGATTTGGAATTTGGCATTAGGGACAGAAGAACGAGAGCAATTGTGGTGGCCATTTCCAGTTGGATATTATTAGATATGTTTGCTCATAGACGTGGTCCATGAAGTAAAGGCTTGACCACAAGATTTACTCGGTGCAAATGCGGCACAGCGATAAGGGAATATGTAGCATCAAGTTAGGTTGCCATGCCAATTGGGAATACAGACTTTAGGGGCTTGCTGAGTAAGGCTGGTGTATATGCGCTATCAAAGGCTTGAAGCAGAGCGTAGAACAACGCCTTGAGAAGCACGAATACGATGGCAGCGGTAGGGTGAAACCACCGAAACAGACAGACAAGGGAAAGATCCTACGCAGCAAGAGGGGACTCTGATAGAACCCAAAGGGAGAGGATTGCGGATTAAACCGCAGCCTTGGATCAACAGTCCCGGTACAGTGGGAGGGGTGTAGAAACCAGCGGGGAGTGTGAATCGACTTCAAATAGGTCTAGATAAACAAGTAGGAAATTGTGATGGGGAAGGGGTGATGCGAGGATATGGAATTGGTGAATTGCCCAGGCTAGAAGAAGAGATGCCACAACTGTTTAGCAGACAATTGGTCACAGGATCGACTTCGTTTGTCTCTTGGACGAGTTGTAGTGTAGTGCTTAGAATAGCAGCTCACTGATGTTGCCGGCCAAGTGTCTGGAAATGAATCAGGTCCACTTTCCATCTCTGGGAATGATCATGCATGCTAGCGACTCCGGACAAGGTGCTCTCCTCAAGGTCTTCCTGCCAATACGACCAAGTTGCAAAAACAAGCTCAAACAACTTCTATCTTATTTTTTACTTTAAATTTTAGATTATATGATCTATAACCATTTGTTTATTCATAATTCCTATCTAAAATATGAAATCATTTCCTTATCCGCATTTGAATTTATTTTGTGATGTCGGATATATCATTAACTTTGTTTATTTTCGTTTTATGTTCTCTGAGGGTAAGGAAGTACTTAAGATTGCTTTACCTTCTGGATGCTGCCAACATTTTTTAAATAATCCATTAATCCATTACTTTAACATGAGTACATGTATATGAAATGTATTCAGCCTATTTCGTTTAGGGTAATAATGGGATTGGTAGTTAAATTTTCCCACAATGCTATGACGTTTTTTATTGAATTTCCCATAGCCTTGCCTTCCCAAAAGTTATTCTATTCCAGAGTGGACGGCAGTTTCAATTTAGCCTAGGTCTTAGCAATTTCTCGTCGCGTTAACCACTAGGCCGCAATGCCATGAGTGCCCCTGGGTCACAGGATAGATGTGAATTTCAAGCAAGGCCAGGCATTTTCCCATATCACATTCTGTGGTTCACCCTGGATGAGAGTAAATTTTGGAAGAGCAAGATTATTTGAAATTTAATGGAAACGTCATGCCTACTAATAGCATTGTGGTAAAATTCAGCTACCAGTCACCCTATCACCCTAAACAAAATAGGATGAATACATCTCGTATATACGATTTACTAGTGGTATCGAAGGCCTACTTATAAACCAAAAATGAATACATATATTTACCAGCTACGTGGTGAATAAGTTTCTAGACTACCTAAATAAAAGCTTCACTCTGCTTAAATCACGTCAGATAATTAAAGAATTTTTATTGAGTCTTTCCATATTGCCGTTGAATTTCACATTGCCTTGTCATTCCAAAGTCTCATCATCCTTTCATTATGGTACAATTCAACTATCGCTACTAACTACGTCACTTGACATGACTCAAGCTTAACCGAGTTCTTTTTCATGATATATAATAATCTGACACAGCTAAGAATGGTGTTTTACTTGTATGGAACTAAATTCCATTAGACATTTGTAAAGAGCCCAATTCTGTCTTGGGCTAATGGATAAGCTGGATATCGCAGATCCGCACTACAAGCCACTTCTACATTTCATCTAGCTCTGTCGCAGTTCATGATTTGCTAACAAATTTGTAGCTGATCCATAGTCATTTGTCCTTAATTTTCCTTTTTGTTTCTCTATTGAAAAGTGCACCAACTTCACCTATCTTCTTACTTCTATTACACCTGCTATCATTTGATTTCCATTCACTACATATTCCCTCAGGCTTCTCTTCCTGCGAAGTTCTCAACCCCCAAGTAAACAGCTGGCGTCCCATTTCGGGCATGTCTACCAGACGTTCATCTGTGGGTCTTTGCGTGCTTAATGGTCTCCTCTATGCCGTAGGTGGCTATGATGGTGCTCTTCGACGATGCCTCTCTTCTGTTGAGGCATACAACCCTTGTACAGATGAATGGAGTCCTGTGCCAGAGATGACATTTAGGTAGGTTGCAACCTAGTTTGCATTGTATAATAGAGGTGGCTTTATTAAAACATCCTAATTTTTTT